GTTGATACATATCAAGAATACATAGGCTATTGGCCGATATATTATCTTATGCATGATAAAATGAAATTATCATATGGCTTATTAAAAGACTCGGCCAAGTTAACAGAAGATGCTGATCGAATCAAACGTATTCGACAATTTCTGGTCAAATATGCCACTGCTCTGAATTTACAAAAGAATAAAGAAGCAGTAGTTTGTTATATGGATGAATCGTATGTTAATACAGGTCATCATATGCATTATGGTTGGTATGCAGATGCAAATCGAAATATTCTTACTGGTACTGGTGTTGGTAAAAGACTTATAATAGTTCATGCTATTACCAATGATGGTCTTCTTCAACATTTCGATGCTTCAACAAACAAAACCATTTCTGCCGAATTGATATATGAAGCGAAAAATCCCACAGGCGATTTTCATTCTAATATGGATGGTTATAATTTTCGTCTATGGGTAGAACAATATTTGTTTCCTGCATTCGAAGCTAAATATGGTCATCAGAAACGAATGATTCTAATATTGGATAATGCTCCATACCATAAGGAACAAGGTAAAGGTTATATTAATGTCAAATCAATGTCAAAGATTGATATGATTAATCTTCTTATATCGAAAAACGTTCACAGTATAGTAATTCTTCGAAATGGACAAGCAAAAAAGTTCAAGAAGGACCAATGGAATATGAATGGTCCATCAGGTCCTTATAAAGAAGAACTACGAGTATTTATCGAAAGTTGGATCAGACAGTATCCTGATCTTCAAAAAACGTTATTAGAGAAATTATTTGAACAAAAATCATTTGCTGCAAAAGCCAGTGTATCTGACTTTCATTATTTCATATTAACTCCACCATATAATCCTCAATTTCAGCCTATTGAATTAGTGTGGTCTTATGTAAAACGTTATGTTGCGAAACAATTCACGTCTTCTAGAACTGTTCAACAATTAATTGAACAAACAAAGAAAGGATTCTATGGTGATGGAGGTGATCCTGAAGGTATATCGACCGAAATGGTCAGAAACATGATTTCACATGCACATAAATACTGTGATATATCTATTAACAATGATCCTGAATTAGAAGGATCTATCATCAATTAAAAGAATGTTAAAGATTATGAAGAAATTTATGAAAAAGAACAAGATGAAGATGATGATGATGATATCAATGTAGAAGAAGATGACGACATTCAATAACTTATTAAATAAAAACATCGTTATCAGCATTTCTGAGCTTCATAGTTAGAGCATGTGATAAATATTATGAATGTTATTTTCCTACATAAACTAGTTCTTATCTATATATAAGAAATAAATTTGAAAAAATTTATCTTACATATTTTCTTTTGGCATTTTAATAAAACCAGCCTAGCAATATGCTACTAATATCACACCATTATATAGTGTATGGTGTCCTCGACCAAACATAAAGGTATGATGATAAAATTATAGAGATTCATTACAAAAGGAGTGATCAAACAAACATCTCTCAACTTGAGTTTGATGCTAAAGGATTGTAGAGTCACCACCATTGTCAGGATCAATGTCCATTTTTGATCATAAGAAAGTAATTATA